CATATTCTGATGGTTTATCTAGGAGTGTGTGGTTTTTTGACAGTTTCCCAGCAATTCTACTTTAGTTTTCTTCTTTGCTTTTAGGTATTTGTATGATTGATCAGAACTACATACATAACAATGCAAGGACACAATATAAATTCACATTTTCCAGGCTAGCACATGGAGCGGCAAAAGGGAGGAGGAGCTACCACGGTGGCAGGTAACTCGCGGATGTTCTGAAATTAGTGTAGAATAAGCCTGGCTCTACAAGAAAATACATCGGACAATTAGAAAACAAGGAACCGAGAAAAAACAAGAAAATACAGAGACCAAATACTTGCTTGACAGCAACTCTGCAGGACTAAAATTAACGAAAAGCTATATTTTTTAGATGAACAAACAGCTAGGCCAGTTGAGGAGCAATCTCCAGCAGCTCCCCGGTCACTAGAGGAGTCAAAGATTGTCCGTTGAAAGACGGACAAGTGATCTTGTCTGAAAGGAGTAGCAAATGCTGATGTATGTATATTTTTCGTTCAGTGTAATGGAAGTGCAAATTTGTATATACTTTACTGGCATTATTTAGTGGATTTGATCATATTTAATATATTGGATTTTATACTGTGTTCTAATGGTGCCTCAGGTATACTTTTACAAAAAGAAATAAGAAAGTATGAAAAATAAATAGCACACAATATACATGTCTAGCATAGCAACCGAGGTGTAGCATGTCTGCATGTGTTGTATATTAGAGTTTGGTCATGTAGAGAGAAAGGAAGACATGAGGAAATCTACTGTCTTCTTGCAATATGCAAATGGATGAGGAAAATGAAAGCACGTTTGCTATTTGGTAGTTGCTTGAAATCAATTGTAGAGCAAGTCAATTTCTAGAGATAAATAGATGAGGGGTAGAGTACCGAGCTTGATAAGGGAAGGCCACGGTTGGCCCCGACATCCCGATGAGGGATCATCAAGAACGAGCTGGAGCAAGCGATGAAGTGGCTAACCACAACGTGACAAGCAGAGACGAGGTGGAGGCCTGATGGTTCCGGGTGTTGGGTGG